ATTTAGTATTGCATGCTCTCACACGTGCTCTGTTTAAGCTGTTGACTTCTTGATCTTTATACCACCTTTCTCTTCAGAGTTTCGTCCCTCTCCTTCTCATCTGTGGCCATCATCATTTAGATATCTATGCTCTTGATGCTTCTTGCACTCTATTCCATCACACTTATTTATTCCTCTACCTGGATCATTCCTTTCTCCCTCAGACTTCAGGCACTTAGGAAAGTGACCGTTCTTTCTTTCATATCTGTCTTCCTATTATCTCTCACCTCTATGCTTATTCAGATCTGAATTGGATCCTGTGTCCAGTTTGGGTTGTTCAGTGTTACTTGGCATGAACTTCTCCCTTTCAGGGTCCCCATCATTGTCTGTTTCTATCCTCAGACCCCTCTTCATCCAGGGACATATCATCTTCTACCCTTATCAGATGGGTCTGTCAATTCCTCCAGTTGTAGTATTCTTCCCTGAATATTGATGCTCACAGGTTCTTTCATATTTCGTTGGATCAAATTCGTTACTTGTCGAGATGTGGTGTTCTATAAGACCACTAGAGGTATCCCTCTGGTATACAAGTTTACTCAATTACAAAATCCAGACTGTACCATTCCATTGACTATCAAAGACTGCCCACTTCTTTGGCTTGTGCTTTCTGGCTTTTAAAAATATGGTTTCATGGTCGCCTACTGCACTGTTTCCAGTAAAAGACCTTTATGACAAGCATCCTTTAGGTATCCAGGCATTTCTCCGGGTCTCCCCAACGTGAATGTATCCCTCCTATTCAAATGGAGCTGTGCTCCTTACCACATTCTAGATGCTTGGGAAGTGGACCTTAAAGAGCTCCTCACTGATTGGTCTTAGCATAATACAGTGGGAAGTAGGGTAGTGATGACACTGTAAGTGTAGTGCAGGTGGTATGTCCTCCTCCTGCAGCCTAAGTCTGTCCAGGTGAGTACACCCCATACAGTGTAATTACACCCTATCCACACTACACTTATTGGCTAACTGATCACTTGTGTGCAAATGCTTGGATGATCATGTTTTATTCCATCCATCCCTACAACCCTTGGGCTTATTTGCCTCTCCCCATTTACATTCCAGGCAAAGAATGTACTTTGGTTGAGACAAGATGTACCCTCCCAAGGGTGTGCCCCTAAGAAGCCCTTGTCATTGGGTGTCCAATGGGCTTTTCCTTCAGGTACTTTCTGAAGGGAGCTCATCTAGTTATAAAATTGCACTGGCCCCTCCACCAAGTCAATATATATCGGATTCTAGCTATTCTGTATGTAGAGGTGAGGTATCATCTCAGAAGTTAACATTTTTCTAACCTGAAATGTATTTCTGAGAGATACTCACCTCCATACATATTCCCACCCAACTTTCCCACTTCTGATATGCCTTCTTCTTGCCTCATCTAAGAATGAAGTTATTTGACGTGCAAGTGCTTAAGATGAGTAATTGTGCATGGAGGTTGTGTCGTGCTCATATTGGTGGAGGGCCACTGTCGCATGATGATGTCACCATGCAACAGTGTAGTTCACGTTCAGTACGTGAATTTTAGGTAGGAGTTAGTTCAAAGCTAGTGGCATGCAAATTTCATAGGCAGACGTTCATGAGATCTAGCTATTCTGTTTGTGAAGGTGTCTATTGGAAATACATTTTCAGATTAGGAAAATGTTAACTTTAATGTTACATGCATACTTTAATAATTTATTAATTATGTCCCTATCAATATCATTAATGTAAACATGAAAAATCAAATAAAGGCCCATGAAATGACCCCCTGAGACACTCCACTAGTAATAAGAAAGCAGGTTAAATTGAATTCTTTTAATAACAACTTTTTGCTTCCTCCCATTCTACCATCCTACAGTCCACTTTATTAGTCTTTCCCCAACCTGCACAGATGTGATTTTCTTTAATACTCTTTTGTGCAATGTCTAATCAAAAGCTTTTTGAAAATTTGTGTCACCTTTTCATCATTCCAGGAAACATATAATGTAAATAAGATTAATTGGTTTCAAAACAACTCTAATCATCCACTTTAAAATTTGGAGTAACATTAGCAATTCTCTGATCGCAAGACACCTATCCAATATTTGTATAGATCTATCAAAAATGAGAACAGCTTGCATATCTTCTTTTTAGGAAAAAACTTTGGTTTTTGTGCTTTATATATGTCACTTAACATCGTTTTAAAGGGTGATTATCCCTGAAATTTAGAAAAGGATTCTTATATTGAAGGTTTTGAAAAACAGAAGCCTTGTATGTGATAGTTGAAAAAAATATAGCTTGGAACGTTTAACTGAATTTTTAGCAGTGGGGAAAAAGAGATAACAGAATTTAGGGATCTATTCATAGTCATTCATTTTAAATTTATTAACAGGAAGTTTATGGCGTTTTTGCAAGTGTGTGCACAGGGTGGTTTCTTGGTTTCTTCTACAAAAACAAACTTTATAAAGATTAAAAAAGAAGAAAAAGAACTAAGAGTTAATGAATTATGATATACTGATTTCAGTGATTAGGGCACCATCACTTTCCATATTCAGAGGGCCTTTAATTTTCCTATGTGTTATACTTTTAAACTGTGAACCACTTGCTACCAACTTATTATTTTTGCTATTCTCATAATCTGTTAGAACTTTGGATGTTTACAATTACAGATTTATTAGATCCAATACTGGCATTGATTTTCTATTTGTTAACCATAATTGCTGTTAGTTTGTTTGTTTTGAGTTAAGCACAAAGGTACACGAAGGACTATCTGTGCTGCAACTTTTTTGATACACATTCAAAGAGAAAATGCACATTAGATCATGCCATTGAATGTGCACAGCTGAACACGTTGAATAGCAACTTCAAAGATATTTGCCCAAAAAGGTAGGTGCAACAGTTAGATGCATTGGAAACATATCAACTTATTCACTATCCCCTTGTTTCATGTTTTGAGATTATAGAAGCAGCCAGTTCAATGATCGATATATTCCAAATATTTTCTACTGACCATAAATGCCTCCAAATCTATTCTTGCCCTTGTGATCATAAACAAGAATCTGGCCCACCTGAGAGCCTTGACCACTAGCCAGCAAGCCAATTTGAAGGACATAACTAATACAATTAGTGAAATTAATGTGGTTGTTGGTGCACTTAACAATGTTAGAGCTTACGTCAACCAGTACCACAGTGGTTTTATGAGGCACAACAGTTGTGTGGTAATATGAGCATTGAACCTAGCATACCACATCACTGTGGATGACAGCAGCATTGTGAGAATCTACCATGTGATGAGCCAAACAACTATTACAGATGACGCATAACTGTGCCACTTTTAAATCATCTACATAATGAGTTGTGAAAGTGCCTTACGGTCCATCACATTGTGGCACTATTAGGTCTTAACATTGTACTACTAGTGGTGGTCACTTAAGTCATAACAACCTATATGTTCATATTAAAGGGCTAGACAGTTAATCCAAGGATGGCCTACCTGCTCTAGCAAGTGTGGGAAGTGAAATGCACATGTGGAAGCTGAGATGGGAACAGAAGGCTAAGAAAGGACAAGAAGGCCTCTGTATATACACTGTCCTGCTAGCAGCACATTCTACCAAATGTGAGAATGGTGTTTGCCACACTGACTACACTGTCAGAGACCAGTTGTTCCAGTGACAGATCACATAGTGGTTTAATGCAGATGAAACCTCTCTTCAGTTGAACTGTGGCAATGAAAAGCTGGCTAACCTTGCCCTTATGCACGTCCACAGGAATTTGGCAATATACACTGAGGGATTCATCAATGAGTTTGCATGCCGCAAGCCACATAGGCTCGAATTTTCACAACAGGAACAAACCTTCCAATATGCCCATGGCTACTTTCCTATTTTCAACTACTCTTTTGGCATCTTCTACTTCTCCCTTATAAATTAGTTATTTTTAGATAAATTTCCATATTTTTCATATTTTTTATTACTATTTATAACAGTCCTGTCCTTTTTAGTCTAGGCAAAAATAAATTGTTTTTAAGACCTTAAGAGCATATCTTCAGGTACCTTACGTACTTGTAAAATCTCACTCTTAAAAAAAATCCTACTTTTCTTCCCAGATGTACTGGAAGGACTGCTAAGTTTGAAATAATTTGCTTGTTAACAAAGATCATCAATGTTTGAACTTTCAAGCCAAATATCATCATTTAAAATTGCAAATAATTGTTTATTGTCATTTCAGCAATTGTAACACAACTGTTTATATTACGATGTCGATGACTGTCATCAGATCAAAATGTAGGAAATTCATAGATACTTTAGGGTATTTTTTCAATTGCGTCTCTGAGAATTATATTTCATATATATATGTTACAAAGTGATGTTGATCATCCACAAAACTATCGGCAAAACATGCTAATAAACTGATGTTATAGTATCAGGGTCAGTGACCGTATTTATAGATTTTTACAACTGTTAATGATTATCATATATATATATATATATATATATTTTCTTTTTCTGCCTGGAACTTTGGAACCCCACTTCCACCATTCCTAGGCACATCATTGTCTTGTACCTAAATTAAGAAATTTGAGAAACTGTGAATGATAAAAGTTACTTGATTCAGGTGTTCATAATTGTTATGAGTTTGCAAATAAGTGGTCAAATCATTAATGTTAATAAGTAATAAGTATTTGAAGCCCAGAGCTGGACTTTTGTATTTGGGCCAGTAGCAGATCTAGGATTTTGAAAAGTGGGGTGCAGATGCCTGGATAGCCACAATATAATTTTAGCATACATTATTTATATCGATGCAGCTAGATGATACATCAAATTTATATATAATATTATAAATTATTGGCATGTAGCTAGGAAAAACAGGAAGTAATCTTTTATTGAAATTATTTATTGTTAAAAGGCACCCCTGAATTCACTAGTCAGTTTGGCTGATGATGTTATGTATGCTCTTGGTTTAAGTTTGATACAACACGCGAAGAATACGTGTTCATGAATTCATGTGTTTTTGGTTACTTTAGTAGGTTTTGTTTGTGGGATAAGGAGTGGACATGATATGTTGTGATTAAAAGTTTCTGTCACCTGGTTCATTCTTATATTACAAATTGATAATGACACACAAACACACACACACATACACTCACTGTTGCATTGTGCGCTATATAAGGCAAGATAGTATCTCCAGGACTGAGTGCTAGGTGACGTAAGATCCAGATGGCACGATATGGACGGGGATTACCACAGAATCGAACAAAGAGCTTTGCAGACTTTCCTGCTATAGCATTTAATGTTTTGTTCACAGGATCAACCTCAGGTCTACCTGACAAAGAACCAGAAGAAATTTGGCTTAGGTTTCAATGTATCTAGTATAACAAAGTTTTATATAATCATAAAGAGGAAAACATTATTTTACATGCAGTTAAGATTAGATTTTAACTACATTTTGTACTTCTCCAAGAAAAGTATTTTCCCAAGATGCTTTATATATTAAGTACAAGATGTATTTTATACTTACAGAGAATATTCTTTTAACAATCAAGGAAAAAACAATACAATTTAAGAAAGAGAACAAATATACTTCCAGAATAATTAAAACAGTTATCAAGAAAGAGAAAATTAACAAAAATGTAAAATAACAGTTTTATTTGTAATCTTGTTTGCAAAAAAACTTTAATCATTAGAAGACTTATGTACAGTAATAGCAGTGAAGAAGGTAGAAGTGAGAGTAAAAAACAGAAAAACATAATGTACTCCATAACTTTACATCTAAAAATATATATACAGTCAAACTAACTAGTGAAAGAGCACTCAGAATCATAAAAACTGCAAACAGCGCACAAGATCGTTATAGTATAACATGATTCATTTCAGTTGTTTTAAAATGATTAATGAAGTTCTGTGCTTCATAATACCAAAAAGCAAAAAACATCAATGGGAGAACTGCTCACTAAAACAGTATCTGGAAAATATGGACAACGATGGGCCATAAAATAAGTAAGAACATTCAATGTTTAAAATTGTATTTGGTCCTTCAAGGCTGCCCTTACACTCTATCTTTGAAAACAAGCAAAAATTTCAGCCCACCCTTTATTTTCCAGGAAATCAATTCCCCTATTACTGGTGTCCACGACTGCCGATAGCAATTCATTCCATATGTAATCACCTTGTTAAAAAATAAAACTGTTTTAACTGGAACCTATGGCCTGTCTTTTTCAAATGTTATGTCCTGTGATCCTATTATCTCTAGAATGTGGCACAAAGAAATCTGAGACCTTTATAAATGTGTCTCATTTTAATGATCATACAAAATTTGCTTCGAATTATAGAACTTGAGAAAAAAAATGCCAAGTTTAGATTAAAGGTAAAAGTTATTTTGACATTTCTGTTCATGGAATCTGTAATATGAGCATACTATCATTAATGCTTTTCTTGTGATCAAAACATTGCATATGTTATTAAAAATAGTAAACATAGCATTATAATTCAACTAATTATTATACCTGCACGTATAAACTACAGAGCTTTATATTGTATAAGTAGCCAATGTACAGAATTAACATACTGATACTTGTGGACTATTAAGTATTTTGTATCGTCTTTTTTTATCTTTGATGATCTTTTTTTTTACTTACTGTCTCTAAACTGTACAGTCACCAAATAATATTTTTTGTGGTTTGTGCTCCATCCTTATTAATACTCAAAACGAATCTTGTGCTCTCCAGCAGGTTGAGTTACTTATAATGAAATCTTCTCAAGCTATAGACTTTGTCGTTTCCCGCACCAACATGCTCTCACAGATGATCATGATGAATGACCTTTGGCTTGGACCACCCAACTTCTACTATGTTGTATTATATTGTATTGTGGTTCCGTACTTACTGATAGTTCAATCTCTGGTGGCATAATTGCTGGGTAGTGCACAGAGGTTTCCTGGTCATAGGCTGTGAAACTATTCAAAGGTAGTCTAAACTCACATGAGTTTCCACATTCTTAATATGCTCACTTTCTATGTACCAATTATCCACACATCATGATGTGTATTGAAGTTTTCCACAGTGAGGTTGACTTCCAACTTTCCTGTTGCTGTTCACATCAATCCATTTTCTCTAGAGGCAAGTTCACATCTGGTTGGTCTCAAAATTTCATCCGTAGGGTATCCTTGGTTTATTAACAGATGTTGATTCTTTCTTCACAGTATCGGCTGTAATGGCCATATTTCCCACAGTTATAACACTTCCCTTTTACTGACATCGTTTTGGAGGAGTTATTTTCTATAGGCTTTTGTCTGCAATCCCTAGCAATATATCATTTCAAGTTACACTTAAAACTCCCGTTGTCTTGTAGCTTATTTTATCCATGCTGTGTAATTAGTTGTCTAACCAATCCTTTCAGTTCTTCTATATTATCGCCAGGGGGAGTTGATGTTTCAATACTACTCAATTTTATAATCCCGCAACTCCAAGACGTAACTTTAGTTGCTTATATGCAACTTTAATGGATTCAAATTCCATCGCCACATGCAGAGTTTCCTTTAAAGTTGCATATCTAATTTGCTTCAGCCTTATTCTTATATCCTCATATGTTATGGCATCTATAAACTATAATCTATAAATATGCCAACAAACCCACCATTTCACATTGATCACACGGGTAAGATAATTGGACAAGCCTTTCCAAATCCTTTGCAAGTTCGGCTACGTTTGCTTCTTTCCTGTGTACCCTGTTACATGTCTTTCCTTTGGATAAGTATTCTATCTGGTGTGTCATTCCAAACCTTTTCGATAAGGCAGTTTCCAATGCTTGATAGTTGTTACAACCCTCAGCTGTAAGGTTACTTAATGTTGTTAAAGCTGGTCATTTTAAATGAATAGCTTGTTGCTCCCTATTCCACTTGTTCGCTTTGGAAAATATTTCAAACTGAGCCTGATATACTTCTTATAGTACCTTTCCATCATAGTCCATTAGTTTCTTGATTGGATATTATATTGATGAACTGGCTGGCTAAACTCTGGAACTGATTTTTACAGTAACATAACTGATAGAGGCGTCGCTAGGTACTTAAAAGATTCGAGATTCGGGCCCATAAGTGCAGGAATTTTCGGTGTTTCAGTATGATATCGATCATGGTTTCTATTAGGAATTTTCAAGACACCAACTGGAGATTCGTGTGCCTCTGAAAACTAGAGTAGTCCAGGAAGGTCTTTCAGTAACAGTGGGCACTGCAGTAGTGTAACAGGCGCCGACCATATTTAATATTAAATGGTGTTTTAGATTAGAATTCTTGGGTGGATGCAGAAAGAGGTGTAGCAGGTTTGATTTTTGCATTTACCATTTCTTTTTCCAAATCTCTTATTCTGTCATTTGATTGTTTTTTGTTATTACATCCTTTCTATTCCTTTTCAATCTTCTTGTAATCTCTCTCTATATATCTCCAGTAGCTTTATCGGTCTTCTATTCAATCATATGTATTTTTGTTTTTAATTATTTAAATATTACTTCTCATTCTTTTAACTCCTCCTTTACATTCTTCTCTCTTACCTCTTGATGACCTTCCAATTTTCTATAAATTTCTTCTTAGTCTTCTTTTAATTTTATCTACATTTCTTCTTTGCCTTCTTAATCTCTCTCTCTCTTTCTTCTAATTTTTCATTTCCAGTCTGTTTCTTTTGGAATTTCTTTTAATGTTATGCCCTGTTCTTTTAATTTTCTGTTTCTTTCTTCTTGTTGTTTAATTTTTTGTCTTTTTCCTCTTGACCTTCCTTTGTTTTATCTTTTTTAGAAAAGCTTCGATTTTGCATCGTTATCATCTCATCTTGAAAAGTAGTTAATTTTTTATATCAGAATTATCCCACTTCTCACACTGGTATTGTGACATATTCTATTGTTGTTCCAGTTCTTTTGGATTATTTGGTAAAAATAATGCCAAGACCAGTCCAGATAACCATAACGAATTCATATATTTCTCCAATAACGTTAGCCACAGCTACTTTCACTTGTACGCCTTAGCTCACAAATAATGTTTCAGCAGAACCTCCGAAACTAATGTGGACTTGACTTCAAGTTCAACGTTTCAGCTCGAATTCGAAGACTAACTTAGCTTAGATTGACAAACAAACACTCTAACTCACCGCGTAACTGAATAATAGAATAGATGCGATAATTCTCACTTCTTACACTGAATAACGTTTGTGAAAGTGAACTAAACTAACTTAACTATCAAACCATATCGTACCCCACCCGTTTCACAAAATACAGATAATTAAATTTTATTAATTTATGTAGGTATATTGCATCATCATCATGTCATGATTAGCTCTCTCTCTCTCTTGCAAATCTTAATTAAAACATTGAAAATATAACTTACCACAGTATTTTACATTATCATGTTGACAGACACATAATTAATAAATGAATATAGTTTACTGACGACATTAAACTCTTAAGAATTTCTAGATTCACTGAGAAAATTACAGAATATCTTGGATCAATTGATAAGAAGAAATATATAGTTAATCGCATGGGCGACAAAGATATCGAAATTCAATTGAATTGAAGAATAGGTTAAACAATCGCCAAGTTTTTAATATTCTTATTTTCAGAGGATTGATGAGGTTTCCATCTGATGAAGAGCGCTAGCCCGAAACGTCATTCATCCTCTTAAAATAAGAATATAAAAGGACTTGGCGATTGTTTAACCTATTCTTCAATTCAATTGATAGGAAGGACAAGGGTTTGACAAGTGGTTATTAATAACAGTAAGTACGAGATAACGCATTTGATTTATCGCAATTTGGTTCACACGCTTAATATGGATCGGGACTCATCATTGGCATGATGGTGGAAAATTCACTAACGTTATCAAAGCAGTACTCTTTTGCTATTAAAAACTTACAGAATTTTATGGTGTATTTATAGACATACTGATTGCAAGATAAAAGAGTTACTTAACTCTATACAAGTCAGTAGTTAGGCCTCACTTAGAATACTGTTTACACTTTTCTTTTCATATCTAAAAAAAAAGTATTGATTTATTTGAAAGAATCTCTTATTTTATTTTCAGAAAATACAGGGTGGGTAATTTTTTTTTACTTTTCTTAAAGGTGGGTGTGCGAGTATAATCTTAAAGGACCTAATGTTCCATATGTTAATTAAAATCTAATAAAATTTTTTCCTCCTACACATTAGACATCTTATTAGACTGATGTGACCAGACGTTCCAGAAACTTTTAGAGGACGTGAAAATGTCCCGCTTTGGGGAATAACGAACTTAAGTGTCCCGCATGATCAAAATTAATATCAGTAAGTACTACCATACTGTGACTGTACATAAGATTTGTTCTGTCCTCGTATAATACCCTTCATTTTCATATATTAACGTTCCTATATATAGATAATCATATACTTATTGAGGATGTAATAATATGAAATTAGCTTGTTTATTGTCTCATAAAACAGCGTTAGCCGTTTTGCCATTGACCTTTATATTACGAAATCATTAAAATGTCGTATATTAGCGTTCAGTACAAAACAAGATGAAATTAGTTTGCTTTATTTCGGGATATGCGCTGAATGTCCGAAACATCTTAGGCTGTTTACGAAATATCTTCAAATAAGAAATATAATGATTATATGGTATTTATTTTTCCTGAATGTCATTCTTTTCTATTGCATGTTTCCAAAACGCACTCCTGGTTTGTTAACAGAAATAATATCTAATGAAAAGTATAATAACAAGATGATATTCATTTTATAATGCAACGAATTTTTTATTCATCAGTTAGGTGTCCCGCTTTGGATCCCAGAAAATCTGGTCACCGTATATTAGACTTGTTTTACTTTTTAAATAATTCAATCATCGGAATTTATAAAAAATATATATATATATATATATATTTACGAACCTTTACTTCCCTATCGGCCTAGTTTTCGTTAGGAATAAATAATAATCACCCGTTACTTTGACATTAATATCTTTAGTTTGAGCTCTACTCAACTTTCGTTCAATAGTGTAATATTATTTTTCAAATTACTCAGTTTTATAATAATTTTCATTGAATATCTATATGAACTACCTATACTTCTATGTCGGTCCAGTAATCACCTTTTACTTTGACATTGATATCTTTTGTTTGAGCTGTATACAATCTTCGTCCAATAGTGTTAGAAGCGATACATTTGTACTGTCCAGCATCAGAGTAGAGAACGGTATCCAACAATAAGTCTTTCTCAATACTAACGCCCTCTAGTCGACTGTTTTCTCTAATTCTTGTCCAACAATAAGATGGGGGCGGTTTGCCATCAGCTTTACATTCTAATCGGAAAGGATCGCCTGCATCAGCTTCGAGAACATCAGGAGGTTGTTGAACAATTTCAGCACCATCTTTTGAAAATAAAAGCGAAGAGCTAATTAACAAATGTAAACCCAAAATATAATTATAAGGGTAAGCAAGAATGCCTTTCTTAACGAACGTTTCAATTCTAATGCGTAATATACGTTTGCATAACTCCAAAATAATTACAATAATAAATTTTAATTTGCCATCTCGATAAAAATCCAAAGTATTACAAAATTAATGAATGATTCATACACCCATCGCTTAATAGTCCGTGAAAAATGGCTAAAATATTTCCTACTTTTCCTAAAAGGTTTTGTTTCATAAATAATTGCCAGTATTTTCATATCGAGAAGATAAAAACAATTCATTTACAATTCTCTTGATACTCATACTCTGATAGTGATTATTGGAATAATTTATTTTATTTGTTTATACTTTACAATAACAATATATGTGCTATTTTTACCATACTAGGCGATTTATTTTCCAAAATATTTTGTTAGAATATTATTTTATTTTGTTGAATTTCGCGCAAAGTTATTCGACTAGCTATCTTCCCACTAGCCTATCATTTATAAAATAGGAACAGCTAGCCAACTCTTAGGCTACTCTTTTACCAACGAAAACTGGGATTAACTATCACATTATAACGCCCTCGCGCCTGAAAGGGCGAGCATGTTCGGTGACGGGATTAAAACCCGCGACCCACAGATCACCCTAAGCACCAGGCCATGCCAGGCCGTTATTTTGGTAAACACATATATGTAACTAACGATAGAGTTGTTCCTGTGTGAGAAAGGAAGTTTCGTCACAAAAATCTGCTACTCCATATTGAATAAATTCTGTATATCACATAACATTTTTATAATAGTACTTACACCGAACATTTAAAAAATAGCCAAATGACGAAAAAGATCCAAACTGGTTCTCTGTCGTGCACTTGTACCAACCAGAATTGTGCCTGCTGATGGATGTAAAGTTCAGAATACCGTCCACAGAGGACGCTAAAGGCGAGGATCCCTCGTCTTTAAGCCATTTCGCAACGCTTGGAGGGTTAGCGTCAATGTCACACTGAAGAGATACGGACATACCCTCGACTACAGGAAATCCAAACGGTGGTTCCCGACTAATGGAAAATGATGGTACATCTATGAGGACAAAAAAAAAAAAGATTAATCATTAAGGAAATTAATTATTATGCTTTTACTGATCTTTGTTTACAAATAGAACGTGGAATTCTAATGTTATCATGTACTGGTACTTCAAACTTTTTTTCATATTTATAACCAAAAATGATGGAATATAATACACGAAGACATAGATAGATACATGTGTCTAACGATTTTATTATTCAAATATACATAGATATATTCTTCACAGGTTGAAATCTTTATACTAAAAAAATTAATTATATGTATAGAAGTTTTCGTCCTGAAGAAAACAGAATGTCGTTCATAAAGTATTAGATATATATTTCATTAAGTATATATACATTTGCGGTCATGATGAGCATGGGTAATTGCTTCTGGGCCTCCCAGTGGCACAGCCGTATGTCTGCGGACTTGCAACGCTAGAAACCGGGTTTCGATACCCGTGGTGGGCAGAGCACAGATAGCCCATTGTGTAGCTTTGTGCTTAATTACAAAACAAACAAACAATTACTTCTGTGATAACGTTTATTAATTTGTATCTTTGGAAGTTTTCTTTTGTTTGTTTGTTGTTAAACACAAAGCTACACAATGAGCTATCTGTGCTGTGCCCACCACAGGTATTAAAACTCGGATTTGGGCGTTAAAAGCCGTCAGAATTACTGCTGAGCCACTAAGGTCTTTTTTTTTTCTTCTTAACTTACTTATTGAAATTTCAGTGGTTATTGTGCTCTCACTGTGGGATAATTCATTTATTTTTAGTCAAATATACTTTGAACTGGAATTTTAATTGACAGTTAATACTCTCCACATAGACCCGTGTTTCTGTCTATGTGTTTGCTTGTCTGGAAGACCACTACTTAACCCATTTACCAGCTATTGTCGCCCTACAGCTAGCGAAACACATTATTAGCGAAAGTCATGCTTTCATTATCAGTGACATCTTGAGAGTTCGTTTACGCAACTCTTGCGTGCGGAGCGCTGCAACGAAGTATGTTGTTAGATATAAAACAATTGGTCATATGTTCTAATAATGAACAAGTTCGTATTACCATTAATTCTCACTCATTTAGTGTTCTTAATATATGTTTTATGAAAGTATCGTTATTGCTGGAGCCTTTGATTCATGCATCACACATAGAGTGCCACAAAGACTTTACTCTTTAATTAAAATCAGCTGAAGCAGCCAATGAAATGCATTCTCTATTATAGTTTTATAGCACACAGTCATTGATTTAATTATTTTCTCATCATGAACTGTTTGAATATTATAAAAACAAAATTAAGGACCAGTCTATAAATGGATTTCCCACATGTCACTAAATTAGACCATTGTACATAGTTACTTATCGAAATGTTCATGCTTTAATAGTACAGAGATAAAATCAGTTATAATTATTAAGACGTACAAAACATGTTACCAACGCAATAGATCGACTGTGAAACTAAAAATAATACACAAAAATACTGTGTGATTAAACTGAAAAATGTTACGAAATGAGAGAGTATCAAATTAAAAAAAAAGAGTCTCGGATGATATGAGAAAGGATTAAATAAAAGTTTAGGTATAAAACTTGACATTACCAGAAGGTTGATTACTTTTATGAAGTCAATCCCCATGAGCCTAGCATAAAGTTGTAGTCATTGGGTCTGTGATTATTTTTATGAAGTCAATCCCCATGAGCCTAGCAGAAAGTTGTAGTGATTGTGTCAGTGATTACTTTTATGAAGTCAATCCCCATGAGCTTAGCAGAAAGTTGTAGTGATTGTGTCAGTGATTACTTTATGAAGTCAATCCCAATGAGCCTAGCAGAAGGTTGTAGTCATTGTGCCTGTGATTACTTTTATGAAGTCAATCACCATGAGCCTAGCAGAAAGTTGTAGTCATTGTGTCTGTGATTACTTTTATGAAGTCAATCCCCATGAGCCTAACAGAAAGTTGTAGTCATTGTGTCTGTGATTATTTTTATGAAGTCAATCCCCATGAGCCTAGCAGAAAGTTGCAGTCATTGTGTCTGTGATTAGTTTATGAAGTCAATCACCATGAGCCTAGCAGAAAGTTGCAGTCATTGTGTCTGTGATTACTTTTATGAAGTCAATCACCATGAGCCTAGCAGAAAGTTGCAGTCATTGTGTCAGTGATTACTTTTATGCACGAAATGTTCACCACTGAATACGTAAATATTACATTATTTAGAGGAATATTTTATGAGGATATTGAATCTAGTTTTAACTTTCTACTGAAATATATACTGTATGCACTAAAACTAGAACACTTCAATATGTTTAGAATATTTTAAAGCGTTTAACGAGAGTTATTTACTTTTATTATTTCTGTTCTTTGATTATCCTAATAATCCTAAGTAAAAAAAAAAATATATTCAAAGACTTCAGACACTGAAGCAAAACTATTCTATTTTCCAAGATCGAAGTCACACCTCTTTTAAAATCAAAGCTTTCATTAAAGGTCAAAGGTATTCAGAATCTCAAAAATTAAAATAAGGCTATTTACAACACTTCGGATTTATAGTCGTAACTCATACCTTATATTGGAATTCAGGTTAATTAATTCGATGAACAATCTTAACATTTTTAGCCTTGCTTTCTTCACCAGTTCAATGAAATCACCAATATCATTATTTGTCTTAGATACAATTTATAAATATTCCCTTTTCAGGATTTCTCTTTAAATAATGTATTGCTTAAGAGCGGATATTAATTCTGGTATATTATTTTACATAAATAACCCTGCAACATATTAACTAATACAAAGACAACTCTAGTAATTCGTTGGTTTATTTATCACATGGAACTTCTACAAAGGTGTGACTTATAACGTCATCTATGAAAGTTCGGGAAAAATATTTTCACAAGCGCTCGTTGCTATCCTAAGGACTGATATACCAAAGTAATTTCACACTAAGCTAAGTCAAAACAACAATACCTTTTGTTTAATTTTCCACTTTCTAAACACAACTAATAGTAAGATTTTAATTCAATACAACGATTTTAATCCAACTTCTGAGCAGCAAGCTTAACAGTTCAATCTGTAGTGAAATTGTTCAAACAGAATGAGTTGATTTTAATTAACATAAATTCTCATTGTACTAGGATATTATATACTGTGTAATATATGGCGTATATGAGCGAGTTATTTTAAAGGTGGTTCGAGTACATTACATACGACTAATTACAGGATCAATAAATCACATTTACATTTAACTGTTAGGGCTGTACGAGAAAATAAAGTTAGATCCTCATATTATTACCAGCGTTAAAATTGCATGACAGAAAAATGGTACTTACACAAAACGTCCAGGGAGGCACTGACGGCGACAGCTTGAGGCCACAACTCGTGATGGACGTAACAAACGAGGTCCTTTTTATGAAATGTTCTTGTCACATTAAATGTCACCACACTCCAGCTAACGTATGTATTCTCTTCCGGGAGGAATTCAACCAGAAGTTCGCTATTGGAGGAAATGTTTGTTGTGTCTAAAGACCAGTGGATTTGCTGCACTGGGGGTACAGCATAACGAGCCACGCACTTAACAGATAAAAGGGTCAGTTCTTTAACCGATATTGTTGCTTGAGAATGTAGTTTCTTTCCATCGATTTCAAGAAATGGGTCCTCTGGTGGGTCTGAAAATCAAATATTTCTTATTTTGTTTTCCTTTATAACTCCTTGTAAAAGCAAAAATAAGAACTTGTATCTGTCACTTTTTTCTTCTGTTATTACAAGAGTGTGTTTATTTCCCTGTATGCTACTTTTAGCCAAATACCTGTCATCAGTTTTTGTTCCAATAACAAACTTCAATTAAATAAAAAACAAAACAGAAAGATGCATTAAAATAAACGTAAACATGGACGTAGGAAACTATTTGGACTTTTTATGCATATCTGTATTTGGGATTATAATTACACCAAACAACCCCCTAGCCCTACCACACTCACTTATAATTATAGCCCTACTAATATCGTACTGCTTCCTACGCCTATGCATGTCAGTTTTCTTTACACATATCATTATGGTAGATATACTGTAAAAATAACGAGACGATACATAGATATGTTTGCCGTCTATTCTTATCTATTTGAGTTTAAAATATACTCATTTGGTTGTTTGTTTTAGCGCAAACCTATCTAATGAGTTATCTGCTTTCTATCTATCGCGGGAAATCGAACCAGGCATTGTAAGTTCGTAAACTTACAGCTTATCTACGAGGGGGTGTCTTTAGTCAAAGTAAAGAAATGTTAAGTTTAACTGTATAGTAATATACATATACCTAAAAATATTTGTTTCAGAAAGGTAAACGTGATACCTGATATAATTAGAAGTGCTCCCAACCAAAAGTCCCCCAGTGGCACAGCCGTATGTTTGCGAACTTACAACGCTATAATCCGGGTTTCGATACCCGTGGTGGGCAGAGCACAGATAGCGCATTGTGTAGCTTTGTGCTTGATTACAAACAAACTCAACCCCCCCCCCAAACTAATATGTGTAGTAAAAACTTGTAAAATATGAATAATTTACCACTAATAGTAGAAAAAGTATATGTTATGAAAGAAGAAAGCCTTAGTACAAAATTATTGTGAATTCAATACATAAAACAATAAAGATTAAAACTTTAATTACAACTTTTGATAAGGATTTTGGAGAAAAACAAAGAATAACAGTTAAAACCATTAAAACTTCTCAGCTTACATGAGGTAGCTATACATTAATTCGTGGAGTTATGTATATTGTACTGCGCTCATTGAAACTTGTTTCAGACAATTTCAAACATTTTTTTCATATCGTTGTTTCATAACGTGAATCCTGCTAATGAAATTTGGCAGTTTTTGACTGCGTTTACTATATTTTGTAATTCAAAAATCAAACGGTAATCTGCAATTTGTTTCACTAGGAAAAAATATATAATTTCAAACAAGAAATGCAAAGGTGGTTAAAACTGGAAAGTAAATGAGAAGAGAAAATCATTTCGTTTAAAATAGTTTATTGGGCGACGTTTCGAGACCAAACCTTTACTGTGAATCACATCCATCTAACATTACTGGCTTAGATCAATAAGTTGTACCAGTGAAGAAACATACAGTATTAAAACTAGACCAAACCTTTACTGTGAATCACTTCCATGTAACATTACTGGGTTAGATGAATAAGTTGTACCAGTGAAGAAACATACAGTATTAAAACTAGACCAAACCTTTACTGTGAATCACTTCCATCTAACATTACTGGCTTAGATCAATAAGTTGTACCAGTGAAGAAACATACAGTATTAAAACTAGACCAAACCTTTACTGTGAATCACTTCCATGTAACATTACTG